GCGTTATGTAGTCAAATGATAGAGAGAGAATGAAAACATCCAGTCACCAGACAGCGCAAGGATAGACTGACAAGTGCTTCTTTCTGCAAAAACATAAATCGGATTTCAGGCGATCTTGAAGGAGATTACTTTGACAAATCTGAGTAAGAGTGAGCTATTTTGTCTGTTGACAATTTTAAAGGATTTGGCTCTGTCTACCTGATAATGGCAAACTATTGAAAGCACTTGCTCTCTTATTCTCTCCAAGTTTGCCAGAACAATCTCTCTATCAACTGCCTGAAACCTGATTTATGTATTCAGAAAGAAATAGCTTAACAGTCTTTCTTTGCCCTGATAAGTGGACGTCTTTATTGTCTCTCTCTTTCATCGAATTTTTGAATTTAACCTCATCCCCCCCTTGCTTGTCTCTCGTTTCTGTGATTTGAGTTTAACTCACCACATTACTACCCAGTTTCTCATCATCTTATTCACCTATCATCTTTATTACGTAACTCCCTTACAATTGTATGTGTACATTGATTTTTTTGTTTAAATTTGAACTCAGTGCGGGGTAAAAACGATATATGAGTGTAATTCTCTGAGCACTGTTCATTAAGTTCGGAACCTCCTGTCAACTAGCATCATGTAAAATTTGCGAATTCGTTTATCTGTACGTAATCTATTTAGGCTGTAAGCAGCTGATGAGAAGCCAACGTACGAAACAAACATTGATGGCGCTGCATTATTCTGTACTTACGGAATACTTCAAACAGTAGAGGCCAAAGATTGAGATTTACTTAGCACAATGAGAGCTTTGTGTGTGTGTGTGTGTGTAAAAGAAATCGATCCAGCCACCAGTGATACTCTGTTCCTGCTGTAGAATATATAAATTCATAAATTCTGAATTATTACTTTTCTAAACTTATCTGATACTCTTAGTTGGACAGTGTGATTCACATAATCACAATTACAAATGCTTTTTGAGTTGTAATCTATCGATATTATTGATTGGCTTTTGATTGATTTTTAAATAATATTTCACCAGTTTTGTTCCTATCCAGTACAAGCGTTCCCTAGAGAAATGTTTGTTTTCAAGGGCCCGAAAAAAATATGTACGAATGACACATTGATGGATGAGCTTCAACGTATACGGTCAGTTTTACTGGCTAATGGTTATACAGAAAACTTTATCAATTGGCACAGTAAGGAGAGACCACATCGGAAAAAGACAGCTTCTGTACAAAAGAAAGCTATCTTTATTAACCTAACATTCAACGGTGATCAAATTATACAGTTGACAGCTAGCTCAAAGACTTCGGTCAGCCATCAAACGCATATTCTACTCCGCATCGCTTTCCCCCACTTCACGAAGATTTTCAATCCCTGTATCTACGATTAAAAGACGAAATTCTGTGGACTATACTTCAAACTGTATCTACTAGTTCACCTGCAGTTGCGGTGACACACACACACACCTATATATGTAGAACCAACAGAATGTTACAATGTGGTCGTCGAAAAGAACATATTCCAAAATGGTTAAGAAAACACATAGAAAATCCCAATTCAATTATTAATCTGAATAGAAATCCATCATCATCATCATCCATTGCAAAGCACTTATTAATGTCAAGTCACAAAATCAATATTAAAATAACGATAGCTTCACAAATGTCTCAAGTTTGGTTATTGAAGGTGATGGAAGCACTTTGAGGATTAATCACATAACATCCTAAACTATGTGTACAAAAGCAACACAATAGACTTCAATTAGTGTCACCTACCATGGACTGACTGACTCCTTGACCTATTTAAATGTGATGATTGGTCATTAGAAGTATGTACTTTTGTTTTATACAACTAAGTAACTGTCGTGCATTTTATTTAATTTTATTATTGTGAACCAGGTTAGTTGTGAAGCGGTTGTAAAGAAACTACGAAACGACCATATCACCTGGCGAAATTTGTTTTCTAAATGGCTTATTTTAAATTTATCAAAGGGACTAATTGTTTTAATTTTGAAATAAGCCATTCTATGGGCGTCAATTACGTCAAGTTGGTGTTACTGAAATGGGAAGCCTCTTAGCATCACGTTTTGCGGATTTATTCTTGTCAAGTTTAGAGGCCGGTAGTTTGCAACAGCATATACGACAAATGGAATTATACCTCAGGCATGTTGATGATACTTTTAGTGTCTGTGAAAGCAAATCAAAAGCTGACGACCTGTTGATAAAATTCAACTCATACCATTCGAATCTTAACTCCACAACAGAACACAAAGGAGATGATAACATTAGATTCCTAGGTGTTTCCCAGATGAAAACGACTGATGATATAATCGGGAGATCTATCTTTAGAAAATCTACTTCAAGAGCTTTGTTCCAATCCAGTATAAAAAGAACTTGGTCAGAACACTGCTCAACAGAGCACGGAAAATATGTTCTGACAGTACAGTTGAACATGAAATAAAAGCTCTGAAGGATATTTTATCCTAGGAACGGATATCCTGAGAAGTTGATTAATAAATACTCTAGAGAAATGAGCCACAGTAAAATTATCGAAACAGTCCCAAGTATCTCTGTCTATATCGGTTTGCCATTCAAAGGAGGTGATGTACGAGAGGTAGTCAAACGAAGAAACGATGAAGCCATCAAGAGAACTTATTATGCTGCAAAACGTGTCTTCCTTGACACCACCTAGCAAGTGCTTCAACAATCAGGGAAAGGCCAGTGTTCGCCAATCCTCGACACTTCAAACTGCTGCTCACATCAATTTGATTTGTGCAAGCGAATACATAGGTCGTACACAAAGGCGATTGTCTACTGGTGTAACTGACCATTTTCCAAAGTGGTTGAAACATCTGAAGTTAAAGTGCCGACAAGTTCAATCGCGAAGCACCTTATGGCCTACAGACGTGATATTGACGCTGTCAAGTCATTCACTGTTATTGTCAGAGAGCATACAAAGAAAAACAGGAAGATGCTTGCAGTTGCTGAGGAGACTTGTGCAATTCGAGTTTATAAACCAGGTGTCTGTGTACAAAAACAGATGGTCGTCACTCTAGATCTACCATAGTAATACGTTTTACTTACACTAACATATATATATATATACTAATATACTAATAACACTCTGTTTTACCTATTATTATTATTATTCGTGAGCTATTTAAAACTGTCTTCTATCAATAGCACTATATTAACTCGTTTCAACATTATTATTATTATTACTGATTGTAATTACTAGTGTTACTATTATTATTAACATTATTATTATTGCCAATATTATTAAGTTTGAAATTCTTCATATCTCGTCAGTCTTATATCTTCGAATGTTATTCTAATTTGGTATGCGCATATAATCCTGTATTTAGAGTATTCAGCAGCTCAAGGGGATTTCAACCAAAAACTTAATGAATTCATTAAATCCTGTTTCATTAATTAACCTTTGTAGCTTGTGTTTAAATTCGTATCACAGCATAATATACTTCAATTAGTCCAAAACTAGCAACAGAAACTATGCAACAATTACTCTATAGTGATGAAAACATAAAAACGCAATTATCAACTTGGATAGAACTCATAAAATTATGCCTCACACAACATACTTCCAGTTCAATACTCGAATATATGAACAAATAAAAGGAACACCAATGGGATCATCGCCCATATCAGGATTAATAGCTGAAGCCGTTATGCAAAGATTAGAATTAATAGCTCTACCTATAATTAAACCGAAAATCTGGATACGTTACGTTGATGATACATTTGTAATAATTAAGAGAAATGATTTAGAATATAATCATAAATTAATAAACAACATATTTGAAGACATCAGGAGAACCAACACAGGAGATTTAGAAACACAAGTATATAGAAAATCAACGCACACACATCAAATACTCAACTATAATAGCAATAATCCAATTACTCACAAACGAAACTGTGTGCAGACATTGTTTAAAAGAGTTCAGACACATTGTAGCACTTCAGAGTTGAAAAAAATGGAAGAAAAGTACCTACAAACGGTCTTCAAAAAGAATGGTTATCCACAAAATTTCATCAAAAAGTGTTTAAAGTCAAATCAAAACACCAACAAGGAACCATCATCAAAGACCACAAGAAAATTCATCCTACCATACATGAGAAATATCTCTGAAATAACAGCTAGAATACTGAAACCGTTTGACATAGATATAGCACACAAACCAGTCAAATCGCTTAATTCGATATTATGCAAAGCGAAAGATCCAAAAGAAAAAGGGGATAAAATTAATACCATTTACAAAATAAATTGTATGCATGAACTGTAACAAAGTGGGCGTCCCCTTCGAATCATGATATGTATTCTTCAGTATCAATGCATATAGACAATTATGGTCATCAATTTGATTGGGATAATGTCAAAATCTTAGACAGAGGAAACACTAAAAGTGCAGTCAGGCAATTCCTAGAAGCCTGGTACTCAAACGAAAATGCAATTAACAAGCACGTTAATGTAGACGAAATATACCAACTAATAAAAAGTAAACCAGGTGACCAGAAAGTTTAAAATCCAAGTCAATAGAAAATGGTCAATGCAAATGTAAAGATGGTTACCAGGAGACGCAATTATATCACTCATGAATAAATTTAAATCATTTCACTTTGTGCTAAATATGGCTCTGAAGATGTTGTCCAGCAGGGGGACGACGAAAGCTCCACAACTAAACCAACTAGCTCAGAGAACACTATTAATTGCAAATCATCCACCTGAGCTACAAATCTCCTCTCTTTTATTTCAAATGTTTCAAATTGCTTGATTTTATTATGAATGGGCATATAACTGTGTATCCTGAGGAGGAGGAAGAAGAGGTGTGTAGTTATCGAGACGAATCACACTCTTTGCTCCCTACTACTACTACTACCACTAATCACTCCCTTTTTCTTTTTTTGGTAAAATACATCAAAAATAGAATGAGCATTTAATGAGCAAATATTATATGAAATATCAGTACAAGTAAACACAAGCATAGGACTTACTTTTTATATTACTACTATTCCTGTTATGCCAAATATGCCTCATAATCTTGATGATAAAGTCACTTTTTCAAAATATCCGGCACAAAATGAATTCCTCGTCAGCTTCATTATCATTTGAATGTCTGTATGCGTGTGCGTGTGTGCGTGTGAGTGGACTCTGAGTTTATACTGTGCTCAAAATGTGCAAATTAAAACCTTCCATTCGTTGAACACACATCACTCGATTCGAAAAGATATATATATATGTATATCCTCAAAAAGTTATAGGAATCAATACCTGAGTTCACAAAGCCTTTATATATATTGCTGTAATATTTCCAATCTTGACTGATTTGTTATGATTGTTATTATTATTTTTTACAAAAGATGTTGTCACTAAAACAGAATTATCTTTTCAAGATTTTTCACAAAAAATAATAATAAAACAATTGAAATAATTATCCAAACCTCACTAGTAAGTAATTGTGCAATATTATTATTAGTGTTATTACTGTTATTTATAATTCCCCGCGTTTTCTACTTCCCTTGTAGATTTCAAAAGTGTCAATGCGTGTGTGTGTGTTTGTATATCTAATTACATGTGTGTGTCTATCTATCGATCTATCTATCTATCTATCTATAATAGGTGCGCGTGGGTGTTTTATTTTGCACAGGCACACGTATGTGTATGTGTGTGTCTACCTAACCGAGAGTCTGAAGTGTGTCTGTCTATCGATCCATCTATCTATCTATCTATCCAGCCACACATAAATAAATACATGTAGGAAATGATTTTGTAAACTCAGGATATTTTTTTCCTATTTAATTGCTTTTATTGTCACTTTAATTATACTTTTTAATTGAAATAGTAACAAAATTAAAATAATTATTGTTATTATTATGATTATTCGTCTGCTTCCTGTTTATGTAATAATCACACACACACACACTCTGCAGGATTAATAAAACAGACAACTAGGATATGATTTTGCTATTTTTTGATTGGTTAGCCAATCGACCAATCATAGTCTATTATTTCGAGAAATTAATTCTTAAAGTATTATCTTCCTACAAGGATTTGGTTGATTTGGTGTTAAAAAAATTGGATCATTGAACCGATTGTTATCAGGGAGAGCACTGGACGCTTATTTCTGTGTAGTTTTAGAGGACTCCTCAAATTCTGTAGGAGGTATCCAAGTGAGAAATCACTATCACACAAGGGGGCCAACAAGTTGAGTCGGAGTAGGAAGGAATATTGATGGACTCCATTGGTCAACAAGATCGTTATTTAACCAGTGAGGTCCTGAGTTCGATTCCTGCCATAATGATGGGTGGATATTGTTGAAGACTTCCAAAGTAAAACGAAGCAGTCGTTTAATAATACTCCCTAGTTATCTTGAATGGTTGGTTCTCTAACTGAAATCGAATTGTTATCAAAAAGTACAATCAGTAAAATCCTGGTAAACCGACCAGTATGGTCACTAAGATTGGCGTGAGAACAGACAGATACTCGTTGATGACACTGGCTTGCAGTGGAGCTAAGGAAATCATGAGCTGGCAAAAGTTAGAATTTTATGGGCCATTGGACTCCATTCAAGTTGCTGAAGTAACCTGGAAGTCTTGGGTCCAATCTTCGGTGGGATCCTAGGCGTATACTGCTGAGAAGTCCCACAGTACGCCGAGACAGTTGTCCAATAATTTTCAGTGATTCCTTAACCCCCATCAATTTCAGATCATATTTAAAAGTAATCTAAAGTTTTACCATACAAGGAAACGGATATCCGAAGCATAAAGCGGGACATTTTTTAATAAAGTAGGAATTAAAGAGGGTGGAGGGAGGAGGGGTGTATTTAAACTTACTGTCATATTCAAGTACAAGCCCTGTAGGCTTAAGGACCATATTAATTCATCTACATGAAATAATATGATCCACAAAACAGCCTTGTAATGACGCCAATGATTTTCCAGACTGCAGTAGATTGAATAATCCGACAAACAGCGGGCAATGAGGAAACAGGCATTAAATGGACTCACACCAAAAACTTGGAGGATCTGGACTTCGCCGATGATATGTGTCTGATTTCCCACAAACTAGAAGATATGCAAGCGAAAAGCAACAAGTTGGAAGAAGAAGCATCCAGGGAAGATAGGACTTCAGGTGAACATAGAGAAAACAGAGGTGATGAAGATTCCTGGGCAACACCACCAACAGCGACAATAACAACAGACAACAACCAGCATAAATGGAAAGAACCTGAAAGAAACAACCTCTTTTACCTACCGACCTGGGAAGCATCGTTTCAACTACAGGCACACGGAACTGACGAGGATGTCAAAGCAAGAATCGATCGGAAAAGCAAGACAAGCTTTCACTACTCTCAAGTCTATGTGGAGGTCAACAGCACTCAGCATCAAAATTAATATGATCCGGATTTTCAACTCCAGTGTGGAGTCAGTGGTACTATACGGATCAGAGACTTGCACTGCGCGTCATAAAGAGCATCTCAAACAAACTACATACCTTCAGTGACAACTAGCTGTCTTCGCTCAATACTCAAGATCAGATGACTGGCCAGAAGAGATCACCAACAGGGATCTCTGGGAGCAAACCAACACAGCAGGAACCGATTGTGAAACAAATAGGCAGGAAGAAATGGAGATGGATTGGCTGGCCATACTCTTAGGAAACCATCAAGTGAGTGACATCACTAGACAAGCCGTCGCCCGAATGGAACCCGAAACGGAAGCAGCGAGTTGGTCGTCAGTGCAAGGGTGAGGGTGACTTGGAGGAGGTCATGTGAAGAGGAGATGAAAGTGTGTGGGCAGACTTGGAGCTAAGTGAAGACTGTAGCAGAGAACCGAACGCAATGGAGACGCACGGCTGAAGCCGTATGTTCGTCTAGGAATTAAAGGAAACAATAATAATAAATAATAACGATGAGATCAACTAAATTCATAGGTCAAACTAATGGACCAAGTACAGTCAAGTGATATTAGGAAGATAAGTGTGGAATAACAGACTCCAAGAAGATGAATAGTTTAGAGAACAGCTCAGCAATTGCAATGCATGAATTAATACACAATCATACAATACGGTAGTACAAAGCTACAGTTACAAGGAAGAGAAATATCGATAACTGGAGGTAGAGGTTAATCACTGAATTATATTATTATTATTGCTCCCTTAGGTTCCTAGAGGAACATAGGGCTTCAACTGCACGCCTCCACTTGCTTCTGTCTTCTGCTGTACTTTTCACTTGCATCCATGTTAATCCATACTGTCTCACTTCGTCTTCACACGATCTCCTCCATGTCACCCTTGCACTGACGTCCCACTCGTCGCTTCCCTTTCGGGTTCTACTCGAGCTATGGTCTGATGCGCGATGTCACCCAGTGGCCTCCTCCGCGAGTGTCCAATCCACCTCCACTTTCTCCTGCATATTTGTTGAGTGATTGATTTTCGTTTTGTTTCTTCCCATAGTTTCTCGTTGGTTCTTGTTCTTTCCGGCCATCTGATCTTCAGTATAGAGCGAAGACAGTTGCTGTTGATAAAGGTCTGCGACAGGCTGTTGGAAATATTCTTTGTGACCCGCTGGCCAAGTTTCTGATCCGTATAGCAAAACGGATTTGACGTTTGTATTGAAAATCCGAACCAATTTGTTGTTGATGCTGAGTTGAGTGACAGCGGAAGATTTCCAGATTGGTTTCAGGTTGATGAATGTGTTTCTCGCCTTCCGCATTCTCGATTTGACATCCTCGTCCGTTCACTAAATTATAAGAACAGAAGAATTTGAGCACTATGGTAGAATAGCATGCCAATCACAGTGTCAAAGTGTCTACTCTTGCATAAATCAGATGTTTAGAGTGATTGAATGCTCATGAGTCACATGCATGTGGTTTGGGGTTCCATAATAGTTTGTTTGTTAGATATATCACACAGTGAGTGAAGCAGTATTATTTACTGGATGACAATGTTTCGAACAAAATTTGTTTATTGTTCATAATCATATCATCAGTTATAATCACACATCTTTGAAACTTGAGTTTTATAGTTTTCTTAACTCAAAGTTGCAGGCAATTCAATTCACTTATGAATTGGAAAGTCATTCAAAAGGGGAGCTTCCAGTGTTAGATTGTAGCGTAAAAATGAAAAAAAGATGGGGAGTTGAAAACTAGTATTTACAGGAAACCCAGTAAAAATAGGATTGGTGAAATGTTTAAGTGACAGAGCACAAAAACTAAGTAGTACTAAGGAAAATCTAAGACAGGAAGTGAGGCATATAAGAGAAGCCTTGAAACTTAATAATTACCCTGATAAATTAGTCAGGAAATATGTAAGGAAATGTAAAAATGAAATAAATAATGATAGTAGTGATAATAATAATAATAATGATATTAATGACGACATGCATGTCAAACATGTGCAAGATGATGACAACACCAACAATCAGGAATCTAAATCATCAGTAGGAATTCCATACAGGGAAGGAACCTTGGAAACCTGACGCAGAATTCTTAACGAGGCAGGAATTAAAGTGACAATCAAACTCACAAACTCAGTTAGAAACAAGCTATGTTGGTCAAAGGTTCCTATGGAGCCTTTAAAACAAAACAAATTAGTTTGTCTAATAACCTGCCTGAGATGATTGTCAGGTCAAATACATAGGTCGAAGTAGTAGAACATGGGCAGTCAGACTAGCTGAACATAAAAACTTAGCAAAATCTAGATTGGTAGACCCTAATAAGATGAGAAATCTAGAGAATAGTTCAGCTATAGCACTACACCATATGCAATGCCACACAACCATACAACAGGATGGGATGGGATAAGATGACAGTTGTAAAATCTAATGTCACAGGGTACAGGGAGAGATTGATAACAGAAGCTTTGTTTATTGAATCAACTGCAAATACATGTAATAAGAATGATTCAACACCTGTCCAACCAGATATCTGGAAAATTCTACTACCCTTGCGACAAGTAGGAGAGGACAAAGGAAACTATAAAACTCAAGTTTCAAAGGTTGGTGATTATAACTGATGATTTGATTATGAACAATAAACAAATTTTGTTCGAAACATTGTCATCCAGTAAATAATACTGCTTCACTCACTGTGTGATATATCTAATAAACAAACTAATATGGAACGTAAATTATTGTCAGCCATTTTTATATGTGTGGCAAGTAATAGGACTATACTGATGTAGCTGTGGCTGGATGGTTTATTTGCGAAACTGTCGTTGCCCTACTAGGAAACATATTCAGTGCATACTTCAGTTTGTAAAAGTGAGCTTTTAGTGATTCTCCACGAGTTCATTAGTCATCACTCCTAGTACCCTTGAACATGATTCTTTGATTGCTTTTATTTGTTTTCACACCCTCTAGACTACTAGTATTGCAAGTTATTGTTTCCTTGACCTGAAGTTTGACTGTTTGTGTGTGTGAGATTTCGTTCTTACCGATTGGTAAATTTTTTATGTCTGTGTGTCTATTGATTGACAATTCATCGTAATTCCAGGCTTCTGAAAGTTCTCTAGCATTCATGGGGATTCCTCTCTCTGTCTAATATGTGAAGGCTGGTTGACCCGGTCGAATTCATGTCAGT